AATGTTCGATGAGGTGACCGGTGAACGTTTGGGCGAAGGCAAGGATCCCTGTATTATTGGCGTCTATGATTTCACCTCAACTTTTATATATTCCATGGAGACACAGACCACCATTGGTTATGGTGAAAAATATCCCAGTGAAGAGTGTCCGGAGACAATGTTTCTATTTATAATGCAAATTGTTTGTTCCATAGCCATTGAGGGTGCAATGGTTAGCATCATATATGCGAAGACAGCGAGACCGGCGAAACAAATAACCAAAATGAAATTTAGCAATAAAGCTGTGGTAAGTTTTGGGAGATAAAAAAGTATATCGAGTAATGGTCTGATTATATAATTTCCTTTCTTCCAGATCTGTTATCGTGATGGTAAACTGTGTTTATTGTTTCGGGTCTGTGATCCACGAGAGCAGCATAGTATTGAAACGAAGATACGAGTTTATATGATCATCGATAGGCCGTAAGTATATACCGAATTTCCCAAGAGGGGAAAACAATTCCTTGCAGTAAATTGTTTATATAGTTCCAATGTTTGACGATGTAGATGTCGTTATTCGACTGGAACCGAAGTAACCCTCCCCTGGACTGTCTGGCCTTCTATACAGACGGATCCAAGATGGAAGAAGGTACAGGGCCGGGCGTCTACTGTGAAAGGCTAGGCCTTGAGTTAACCTACAAGCTGGATTGCAACTCTAGTGTTTTCCAAGCTGAAATCTGCAACGAAGGCAACGGAATTGATAAAAAGTCTAGATGTAGAGGTCGTTGAATCGGTGATTATCTTCGTGGATAGTCAATCGGCTCTTAGAACAGCTTTGGACGAACTTACAGCTATCGGCTGTGTTTTGTACCAGGACACCGTGACATCATGGGTAAGAAAAGAGTGGACAAATTAGCTAGACGAGATCAAGCAATTGATGACTCAAACTACTCATATGTCATCATTATAGGAACTTTGACGAAAGAGCCTATGAACTTTGGCACAACGAACCTAGTGCAATGTATCAAGATCTATTTGGCCGACTCTGTCTACCAAAAGGACACACTCACTGTGGTTGTTGTTGTAGCAGCCCTATTGCTTTTACATACTCACTGTTGAACCTGAGCAAAGCTGAAATAAGAGTAATGAAAGGGATCATTACTGGTCATTGTACTATCAGGTCCTTTACTAGTAAATGGGATCATGGTGCAATTGGTTACTATAGACTCTGCGTTGACGGAGACTCTGTGAGACGGAGACAATTGAGCATCTCCTGTCCGGCTTACAGGCGATACGGAATAGTGGGTGCTCATTATCCATCGAGTCATAGTTTCTTCTCAACAACAGAACCAGTTCTAATCTACTGCATAATTAGAAACCTAAAGTGGTTGAGAAAGTGCAACCTTGACAAGTAATATATATTCTGTCCGATCTCTATAGCCATCGATACTATTTCAAACTTACCTTCTTACATTTTCTTGTACGCTTCTCATCTCTCTCTATCCCCACTTCTTTTCTCCCCTTTAGATCTTTCCATATCTCTTTCATTTCGTGGATGATCACAATGGACCTGACGGTCTCAAAGTGCTGCATAAGTGACTGCACATCCCCAAACCAAACCTAGTTCCAATGTCCCGTCAATATACTAAGGTTCTGTGCCCATTTTCCAAACAATATATTTTAATTTTAGTATAGGTTTCTCAGCCGGGAACCCTACGCTTTTATCCTCAAACATTACTTTATCTATGTTGTCTGGTGGTTGAATTCCACATATGCCAGACGTCCACACACATAGTCCACACACATATCCAACATTTCAAACACTGGTCTTCTCTATATCATCAAACATCATGACATTGTGGACGGACATTTGATTGGTTAAGATATACCATTACAGTTCGCCAACACAGTCTTTTCTGACTCAAGCGTGAAAATGCTATCGTAGTACTATGCATTTTATGGAATTCATTCGGAAAATTAGCGCCTGAAGTGTCTTAGCTGCCGACAGAAGTGAAATCGGTCTATACGATTTACTCTGCTGGCATCCTTTGCCAGGCTTTAGTGTGGGTCAACCCTATCTACATTCCAGGCTTCGGGATCTTTGTGGTTGGCTCGACTCCGGATTCCCTCAGTGGCTTAATCATGGATAGATGACTTGGCGCACTTAATGATAGTTCTACCTTCGTAAATTGTGGTCAGATCTGTCACACACACACAATTAAATGTGGCAGTCATCGTCCTTCTCGTTTGTGCTCGCAGACAAGCCTCTTGGCTTCAAGAGTAAGTTCTGTCACTCTTGTGTCTTCAGGGACCGTACGACGAAGTTCATCACTTTACTTCGGGTATTCCAACGCCAATTTTACGTTGACGAATGTCTGATTCAGATTCTTACAGTACTCTTGCATATCTTACAATGCCTATCGAAGGAGATACCCTTACGGGAGCATTAAACATACAGTCCAAATGACTTATAACGACAACCAGTGAAATTGGTTGCAATAGCCAAAGTTTTCGTCGTTATAACCGAAATGTCCTTAAAATTTATTTTTTTCATGACGATATTCTAATTCTATATCCCTTGTCTTTTTTCCTCAAACAGCACCAAAGAAGGAGAACTCATTAAAACCCACACGGAATTAGAATTGGAAAATAATGGACAACAAATGATTGTCTGGCCGGATACAGTTTGTCATGTTATTGATGAGAACTCACCGCTGCGACATTTCAAATGTGCCAAGGATTTGGTAAATGCCCAATTTGAATTATATATTAGCATTGTGGGTGTATCACCGGCCACGGCACAAGTGACCGAAGCTCGTACCTCATATATACCACGGGAAATATTTTGGGGTCAACGTTTTGTTAATATTATCAAATATGATGCCCAAAATGAACGTTACGAAGTGGATTATAGTAATTTCAATACAACAATATCGGTAATAAGTATAGAATATTTAATTATTGAAATTTGTTAAATGTTGCTTTTTTATTATAGGTTGATATGACGAATATTCACGATGCCATAAAGAGTGGCAAACAAGAATAGAACGATGTGGGTTGTAGGGTGGAGTGAGCATTCGATTTTTAATGGCATTCATATTGATTTATTTTATTTGTTATATATTAAACATTGTTATATTTCACTAGCACTTTAAATAAAAATAAAAACACTTCATATTTAGTACAATTTTAAGAAGTATATTTGTTCAGCACTTTATTAACAATTAAAAAAAAATCAAATTAATATGACTTAAGATGAAAATGAATAAAAATAGAAAGATTTGGGAAATATTTAAAAAATTCAATAAATAAATTAGAATAACAGCAGATAACGAAATAACAAAATCAAATTGAAAACTAAAAATCTTCATCCATTAACACCTACTCATTTCTATTTGACTGCTGTAATAGTTGCAATTTCAACATTTCATTCTCTTCCTTGAGGCGTAAAAACTCATTAACAAAAGGATCGGTTTGTAGCAGAACTCCCAAGCAATCTCGTATCTCCTCAATTTCTTCGGAACGTTGATTCCATAAATTAAAATTTTGTGTGAAAATTTGCCATTTATTTGTTTCGTTTTGTAATTTTATTTCGAATTCTAATTGACTGAAACGTTCCAGCATTTCATTGCGTAAATCGTTGACAGCTTGCTGTACGCTCATCGAATCATTGATACTAAGCGGTGTGGTTGCTTGCTTCCGATTGGCTGGTCCCACCGTCGAAGTTAACAATGGGCGATTGGATGCTGTTAAAATCCCGTCCATTGAATTACGATTGGGCGTACTGTTGAAATTCGCCGGCAATGCCTTTAGTCGAGATTGTGGCATAAATTGCAAATCAGTTTGGGGATTCTCCTTATCCGATTCTCCCTCAACGGAAGATTCGTGACTTGAGGATTCTTGATTTCCTTTTTCTTCTTCCTTGATTTGTGATAATTTCCCAGCAAGTGGTGATATTGGTGACTTACTTTGATCTCTAAGGGGGGCTTTAAGAAAATCAGATGTATTGACGCGAGCATCGAAGGAGTCACTTGGTGTGATGGAAATATTAGGAAGTCCACTGGCAGCAATTCCACCAATTTTGCCAATCAAAGATAAACGACTTTCATCGGAGGTGGGTTTACGCGACAATGCCTCCCAATCAAAACTATCACGACGTGGTACAAAACGCGGTGACATTTTCTCTTGGCCACGATTTGCATGGAAATCTAGAAAATCACAAAACGAATCACGATGTGAACGTGTATTCTCAGCAGCATTGGGGGCCACAGACTTATTGGCAGTTCCCCCCGTTGCTATGCCCGAAGTTTCTCCTACACTGGAACTAGAGAAACTTTGTCCCGAATTATCACCTGGCATTGGCACGAAAGCAACTCTGGTCACTCCCCCATCATGTATCTTCTTCGATGACAAATATGCCTTGGTATTCCTCAAATCGTATGTTGTAAGTTCTCCCTTTAAATTACCCACACACAATATTCGTCATATCACGATGCCATAAAGAGTGGCAAACAAGAATAGAACGATGTGGGTTGTAGGGTGGAGTGAGCATTCGATTTTTAATGGCATTCATATTGATTTATTTTATTTGTTATATATTAAACATTGTTATATTTCACTAGCACTTTAAATAAAAATAAAAACACTTCATATTTAGTACAATTTTAAGAAGTATATTTGTTCAGCACTTTATTAACAATTAAAAAAAAATCAAATTAATATGACTTAAGATGAAAATGAATAAAAATAGAAAGATTTGGGAAATATTTAAAAAATTCAATAAATAAATTAGAATAACAGCAGATAACGAAATAACAAAATCAAATTGAAAACTAAAAATCTTCATCCATTAACACCTACTCATTTCTATTTGACTGCTGTAATAGTTGCAATTTCAACATTTCATTCTCTTCCTTGAGGCGTAAAAACTCATTAACAAAAGGATCGGTTTGTAGCAGAACTCCCAAGCAATCTCGTATCTCCTCAATTTCTTCGGAACGTTGATTCCATAAATTAAAATTTTGTGTGAAAATTTGCCATTTATTTGTTTCGTTTTGTAATTTTATTTCGAATTCTAATTGACTGAAACGTTCCAGCATTTCATTGCGTAAATCGTTGACAGCTTGCTGTACGCTCATCGAATCATTGATACTAAGCGGTGTGGTTGCTTGCTTCCGATTGGCTGGTCCCACCGTCGAAGTTAACAATGGGCGATTGGATGCTGTTAAAATCCCGTCCATTGAATTACGATTGGGCGTACTGTTGAAATTCGCCGGCAATGCCTTTAGTCGAGATTGTGGCATAAATTGCAAATCAGTTTGGGGATTCTCCTTATCCGATTCTCCCTCAACGGAAGATTCGTGACTTGAGGATTCTTGATTTCCTTTTTCTTCTTCCTTGATTTGTGATAATTTCCCAGCAAGTGGTGATATTGGTGACTTACTTTGATCTCTAAGGGGGGCTTTAAGAAAATCAGATGTATTGACGCGAGCATCGAAGGAGTCACTTGGTGTGATGGAAATATTAGGAAGTCCACTGGCAGCAATTCCACCAATTTTGCCAATCAAAGATAAACGACTTTCATCGGAGGTGGGTTTACGCGACAATGCCTCCCAATCAAAACTATCACGACGTGGTACAAAACGCGGTGACATTTTCTCTTGGCCACGATTTGCATGGAAATCTAGAAAATCACAAAACGAATCACGATGTGAACGTGTATTCTCAGCAGCATTGGGGGCCACAGACTTATTGGCAGTTCCCCCCGTTGCTATGCCCGAAGTTTCTCCTACACTGGAACTAGAGAAACTTTGTCCCGAATTATCACCTGGCATTGGCACGAAAGCAACTCTGGTCACTCCCCCATCATGTATCTTCTTCGATGACAAATATGCCTTGGTATTCCTCAAATCGTATGTTGTAAGTTCTCCCTTTAAATTACCCACACACATATAATTGCCACATTCACTTGCCGCCACAGTGGACAATGGATGACAATAGGCCAGCTGTAAGGGTTTAACTTTACGACGTGTATCAAATATATTTATAACACAATCATAGCCAACACTTATTAGAGTATCAGGACTTGCGGGAGACATACACAAATCACGACACTGTGCCCCATGAGCATCGGCGGCATGAAAAACTTTACGTTTAGTGTGAACATCGTAAATTGTAACGGCACCTTTATACGAAGCAATGGATAATTGAAAACGTTTTGTGGGATGGAAACGAGCCAATGTGGAACTGTGGGGTGAAAATTGGAATAAAATAATCAATAAGGAAAATAAGAAAATAGAGAGTATGTGAGATATATCTATCAATCTGAGGCGTTGTGAATAATGAAATATCTGCATCAATTTGAATAAAATTTATTTCTTATGAAAACAATGGAAATGTTAATACACCAAGAAGAAATCTCCTTGACATTAAATATTCTAAAATTTAAAAAAAAATCATAAAATTGCAATTGTGTTGATGAAAGAATCACCTCATACATTGGAGGGAGCTCCATAAGAAAAACCTATTGATGGTTTTTCTAAGAGCCTTCGTTCATTGTGAAGCAAAAGAGACATGCCGTAGGGTGGGTTGTTCTTACCTCCCTATGACTCTAATAAACGAATAACTTGCCACAGTTGACCAATTTTGAACTTATGTCGTGGCTTATTAGTTCACACATTGGCTACAATGTGTCAGTGCTAATAAGTGGTCAATTTTTAACGACTCTGTCTGATCTTATGCAATAATGATCTGTCGACCAATTTTGTTGCATTAGAACTCTGTTTGAAAGCCATGTCACTCCATACAATCCTTTATCTCTACTGTACGTGTAAAATGAGCGTTTCAATAGAGGTCTGATAAAAATGTACATTTGTTGTGTTACGCCCCATTTTGACTTAGTAATTTATACAATTCTATCGTAAATTTATAGAGCATTTAACAATAGAACAGAACAACCTGCTTTTTGGGATGAGCTCCGAGGACGGCATTCATTCTATATCTGTTCAGCGCTGCGGCAACTGTATCAGTATGTATGCTAGATAGGTCAATTGATCTAGAGGCTCCCTTTTATAAAGTTGAACCGTTCTCTCTCTAGATCATGCACGCCTAGGGGGAGTCTTATCCACCATGTGATGATTGGGATGATTGTCCCTGAAGCACCCGAGCAGGTACTGCGACGAAAGCATATTGCTATGCTGACGTAAGGGAAGGATCTTCGTCTCCCCATTAAGATGGTCCACTGGTGTCATGAGGAGGCACCCTGCCGCAGGCCTCAAGGCGGCGTTCTGACAGGTCAGAATACTCCTCCATAGCGTATCACTAGTGTTCGCAGACCACACTGGAACCGAATAGCTAGCCACAGACCGACCTATCGCTTTGTAAGAGGTCAACAAGGGTTCCTTATCTGCGCCCCAAGTGCTGCGGCAAGCGACTTGAGGACCTTGTTCCTACTTTTCAACTTATCGCAGATAGCTGTGGTTTGCGCGGACGATTTAAACATGCTGTCGAATGTGACCCCGAGTATTTTGGGTAGTTTGGGTTCTCATTGAATAACACATATCCGTACCAAAAATCATTAATAGTGGCCCATGTTCCGGGGTATCCCCCATATAACTGTACCCCAATATTCGGTATTTGGGGATTATGTTCTGGTTTTCCAAACGAATTGGCTGTAATTTGGGTTCTCATTGAAAAATTCGTACCAAAAATTAATAATATTGGCCCAAGTGTCTGGGTAGCCCCCATATAACAGTACACCCGTATTCGGTATTTTGGGGATTTTGGACAAGTTTTCCTACCAAATTGTAATTTTATATTTTGGGCTCTCATTGTATTGCACATTTCCGTACTAAAAAATGGTGATATTCCAGGGTAGCCCCCACACAACGGTACTCCCAATATGGTAATTTTTGGCACGTTTTTCACTCAAATTGGGTGTAATTTGGTTTCTCATAACGGTATCAATATCGATCTCCGTTTTATTATAGCCCATTATTAGATATTTTTGAGAATTTCAGTCATCTTTTCTCATGTATTTTTCGGTATGTTCTATCATAACATGAGTTTTCTCTATGGAGCCCCCATTAATTTTAGTTGATTGTCATGCCCATGTTGGAGAGTAGAAATAATCATTCTACCTTTGGGGGACATGAAGATAAAAAAACTAGAACGTCAGGTTCGAGAATGAACTATATCGGCCCGCATTTAGACCTAGCCCCCATATAATGATACCTACCGATTTTCGGCATTTTTAATATTTAACGTAAAGGATGGTATTTAGATATAAAACAAAAGAATTGTCGGTATAGGTCCACTTTTTGGAATGTTATCTACCGACGCGGCCGAACTTAACGCATTTTTCACTTGTTTTGTTCGTATTTTATTTTATCCGGTCAATTTATGAGAGCAAGAGTTTCTTTGAACAATTAAGGATTTTGATTTAGTATAATTCCTTTATACTTACTTGCTATCAATGTTAAAGGAATCAATTTTGGTTTTAGTCCTTTGGCCATATATATTAATCAATCCATTTTCAAACACTGAGGCTATATACTCATCAGAGGCATTGTAGTCTAAATACAATACAGAGTTGCGATTGGAATCTATAATAAACAAATATGAAGTTATCTTCATTAATTCGAAATTTCAACACTTGGTATGTTCCCGGACTCAAAATGTGTTAAATCTTTTATAAAGGTCAACGTTTATAATTTGATGTACATATTTCACATTGACATTTGATATACTCACCAGCACTAAATTTATGCACAAATTCCGACTTGTGATAATTATAAAGCTTCACCTGTCCATTCGATAAGCCGACAGCCATTTCCTCCATTGATTGTTTGGCGCAGGCCACACAATAGACATTGTCGATGGTCAACTTGCGGACACGCTGCAAATCGATCTCTACACGAGAATAGCATAATAAATAAATCATTTATCTCGACCCTTCACTTTACTTACTTGGCGCCCTCTCCTTGACGCGCATTATTTCCAACCCGGATTTCTTATTCACTTCCACAAAGATTCTTTGTTGGGCATAAAATTGAAAATCTGTATTTTCACCATTGGAATGTTGATAGGTGGATTTATTCTCCAAATTATTAAAATCCGTGAGGATCGTGGTTTTTGCCGTCGACACCAGATACATATTCGCCATGATGTGTATTTCTGCAATTTGTAATTACAATAATAAAAATTTTCTAATTATTTGGGGGTTTGTTTTCCAATAAATGGCGAAATTATTTCAAATTTTTCTAATTAGACGCCAAAATGTATAGGGTACAATAAATCGATAACGATATGCCGTAATCGATTAGTTAATCTATGGCATATAGAAGTTAAATAACCAGGCC